TAGTGGTGGACAGATTTTCCAAGATGGCACACTTTATACCTTGTGCCAAGGTGAACGATGCAACCAAAACGGCTGACCTGTTCTTTAAAGAGGTGGTACGTCTACATGGAGTGCCAAGGACAATAGTATCAGACCGAGACAGCAAGTTTCTAAGCCATTTTTGGAGGACCTTGTGGAAGAAGCTAGGGACAAAGCTCTTATTTTCAACCACATGCCACCCTCAAACTGATGGGCAAACCAAGGTGGTAAATAGAACTCTATCTGCCCTGCTTCGAGTTACCATTGGAAAGAATCTGAAGAATTGGCTGGAGTGTATTCCTTTCATCGAGTTCGCTTACAATAGAGCTCAGAACTCGGCGACAAAGATGTCCCCATTTGAAATCGTCTATGGTTTCAACCCTACTACACCATTGGAGCTCACACCATTGCCCCCAGCTGAAGCTGTGAGTCTAGAAGGGGAACAGAAAGCTGAGTTTGTCAAGAAACTCCACCTAAAGGCCAAAGAGAACTTAGAGAAAAGAACCGAGCAATATGAAAGCCATGCGAATAAAGGCCGCAAGGAGATGGTATTTGAACCTAGAGAATGGGTTTGGCTACACATGCGGCATGAAAGATTCCCAAATCAAAGGAGTTCTAAGCTTGCACCGAGAGGAGATGGCCCCTTCAAGATCCTAGAGAAGATCAACAACAACGCCTACAAGCTTGAGTTACCAGGTGAGTTCAATGTGTCTTCTACTTTCAATGTATCTGATTTATCTCCTTATCTTGCAGATGAACCAGTTTTGAGGTCAAAACCTCATCAAGGGGGAATGATGAGGACATGCAATCTGAACCGAGCCTCAACTCCAAGATATCGAAGTTTCAACAATGCATGAAGGACCAATAACAAGGGCAAGAGCTAGAGTACTTCAACACAAGTATAATCAAAGCCTTCAAGCCGCAGCTAAAGAGATACCAAGAGAAGATCAAGAGCAACTAGGAAATGCCAAGAAGAGACGGTTAACAAGGACCATTGTTTACAAGCTTAGGCCGAGACATTTCAAGAGTTCTCTTCAACCCACAACAGCCCAAAGAACCAGGACGCCTGGCCTGTTTTACCAAGTCAAGCCCAAGTTCAAGTGATCATCATCTCAAGAATGAATCAAGACACTTAAAGAGGAACATTCAAACTCGGTCAAAGACAAGTTAGAGACACGCTAATCATGGTCACAAATAAGGTAAGTCTTTCATTTCACTTGACTAACGAATTTCTTTGTCTTTGATGTGTTACAGCCGAGAGGATATAGTCTAGACTTTAACTTAGTAGTTTGAATTTTTCCTTTATAGTTTTCCTTTTTTATTTCCCTTTGATGTTGCACCTTTCCTTTTCAAGTCCTGTCGCATTGAGTCTTTTCTTTCTCTTGAGTCTAAGCCGCTTGGACATTATATAAGTCCCTTTACGGCCGTGTAACTTTTTAACTTTGATCATCAATAAAATCGAACTTTTCTTTCAAGCTTTCTCAAAGAAAACTTGTTAAATCTCTTTGTTCTAGTCGAGACCAGTCCCTCCTAGGCCAAAGATCTCTTGTGTTTTATCATAAGCCTTTCACAGCTTGTATGGTGCACCTCATTCCATTGTTACTTGACCAACCCTTCCATCGATTCCCTGGTTAGAGAAGCTCAACCATTGAATCATCCCTTGGCCGTTAAACCAAGCTTTGTGTTCCGAGATCATACAAGCCTTGAGACAGCCCTGAGCTTGTATCACTTTTGCACTCCCGATTTGCTTCTGGCTACATTTTATATCATCCGAACACTGCTGACTTGGAGATATCTCACTTTATGTTTGCGGATGACGTCATGGTTTTCTTCGACGGGAGCCCTTCATCTTTACACGGAGTGAGTGAAGCCCTCGATGACTTTGCTTCATGGTCTGGTCTTCATATGAACCAGGACAAGACTCAGCTGTTCTTTGCGGGCCTGAACCATAGTGAATCCACAGCCATCTCTAGCTACGGATTCCCCACTGGTTCTTTTCCCATTAGATATCTAGGTCTGCCCTTGATGCACCGCAAGTTGAAGATCTCTGAATACGAGCCTCTGCTGGAGAAGATTGGAGCTCGGTTTAGAAGTTGGTCTGTTCATTTCCTGTCTTTTGCCGGTTGTTTGCAACTGATTTCATCGGTCATTGCGGGAACAGTAAATATTTGGATTTCCACATTCACTCTTCCTAAAGGATGTATTCGCAGGATTGAATCGATGTGCTCAAAATTCCTTTGGGCGGGGAAAATGGAAGGACGGAGTATGGCAAAAGTTTCATGGTCAACTGTTTGTCTTCCGAAGAAAGAGGGTGGTCTGGGCCTGAGACGGTTTGCGGAATGGAATAAGACCCTCTGTCTTCGCTTTATCTGGTTTCTCTTCTCGAAAAGTGGATCACTTTGGGTTGCTTGGCAAAAGCATCATCACCTCCGGAGGACAAGTTTTTGGGCGTTAGAAGAGCACCCAACAGACTCTTGGAATTGGAAATGTTTATTGCATCTCAGAGAGGTAGCGGAGAGTTTTGTAAAATGCTTAGTAGGAAATGGGACTACAGCGAGATTTTGGTTTGATGACTGGACACCCTTTGGTCTAATCAAATTTCTGGGTATTGATGGTCCTAGAAACCTTCGTATTCCGATTGGCTCTCTTGTTGCCGATGCTTGCAACGCCATGGGTTGGAGATTAGCATCGCCGAGATCGGACGAAGCTCTATTGCTTCACGTTCACTTGTCGACGCTTGCCCTGCCAACTACTTCCGCAGTCGAAGACACCTTTTGTTGGATAGTCGATGGTGTTAAATGTAATGGTTTCTCAGCAAACCAAACTTGGAAGGCAATTAGACCAAGGGATGACATCAAAAATTGGTACCGATCAGTATGGTTCAAGGGTGCTATTCCGAGGCAAGCATTTACCATGTGGGCTGCTCACTTGGACAGACTCCCCACGAAATATAGACTCTCTTCTTGGGGGATGCAATTCCCACGCACTGCTGCTTATGTTCTCTCTTCGTTGAAGACCGGGACCATCTGTTTCTGCATTGCGACCTCAGTGTTGAACTGTGGTCTTCGGCTTTCTCCAGACTCCACCTACACTTCCAGTCGTTTCAGTCGTGGATCGATTTTCTTTCCTGGGTTAACACCACTACTTCAAACTCTCCTTCTATCCTTCGCAAAATGGTAGCACACGCACTGGTCTACAACATTTGGAGGGAAAGAAACAACAGGTTTTTAACCAAATCTCCACTTCTCCAGCTCAGTTATTCAAAGCTCTGGACCGAGAAGTCAGAAATCTAATCACCGCTAGGAGGCATCGAAGACATTTCGATAGGCTGATGCCCGTGTGGCTTTGTTAGTGTTGGATCTCTTCATAAAATTTGTTGCCATGTTTTTTTTATCTTTATTTTTTCCGTGGTAACAAACTGGGAACTCTGCTCATGTAAATCTTTTCTTCATTAATATGATATTTATAGTTTGGCAAAAAAAAAAAAAAAAAAAAACCGAAATTGAAGTCCATCTTCAAATCGGTCATGGATTCTTTTTCGTTATCTACTTTCAAGTTTTGACAACTTTATATATGTCCTAATTATCGAATTAATATATATTTCCTCCTACTCTCCAAGATTTACTTCAGAGATGGTTTTCAAATTCAACTCGTTTACGTGAAGCTTCACAGGGGTAAAGCTCTGTTTTCTTACATCACACTCTATTTTTTATAACGTGCTCTTATTACACTTGTTTTTATATTTTTGTAATTGTGTCCACGGTTTATTTATTTTTCTATTAGAAAAATCATGTAAATATTTATTCTTTTAATCAATAAATTTTTCATATTCGATAAAAAAATGATTTTTTTTTTGTCAGCTATATCATTAAAGCCCAAAATGGGCAAACATTACAATACTCGGCCCAACAAACACTACAATAATTTGGCCCAAACGTGAAACCCAGATACAGAAAGATAAGTATGAAATGCATGAGTTACACGTGTCCACACGTGTTACAGAAGAGGATCGCCGGAAAAAACATCATCATCGTCGGATTCTTCTAACTCAGACAAAGAGAATCGTCTTTCCAAACAGATTGGAATTGAATCCATCAAAGCTGACTCCAATTTTCCGAATATTGTTTGCTCTTTTGCATCATAACCCAGAAGAAGAAGAGCACCCAAATCTCCATTAATCGACATCTTGAAACTTGCAGAAGATCAAATCAAAAATACTCTTCAGAAAACCGTCAAACACGACGCAGAATTCCAAATCATCATACTTCAATCTGATCGATCCGAAAAACTTTGAAACATCCACCACAGAGATATTACGTCATTTAATTAACCAAAAAGGGTGGCGAAGATTTAAACTCATATGGAAAGAAGAACAAAGAAATCCGATAAAGATGGAGGTTCGCTCCTACTGCTGGGGATTGACAAGTTCCAATCTAATCGGAAAGTCATAAAAGCATGCAAAAGAGGAAAACAAAAAAACAAATTTAAATCCGAAAACGATGAACCTTTTGCTATATCTCTCATAAATATGAAGAACTGATCATAGATAGCAAAAGGAAAACCGAAAACGGAAAATCCAATCATGAGCCGGAAGAAATCCGATCATTGTCGGAATTTTATTATCCGATTAACAGAATAACAACTGAACAAACCCGAAATAGATTACAAAAAAAAAGATCTCCGAGGAAATATAAACAACACGATGCCGGTATCCTCCGACACGGTCACCGGCCAAAAGATAAAACGATGAAAAAAAAAAAAAAAAAAAAAAAGGGATTTAGTTAACCAAAATCATGCCTTGTTGCTTTATCGTTTGACAATTTGTGCCACCGCCAAAATATCCGCTATTTTCTCTGCCTAGAAAAAAAAAAAGGAAAATACTTTTTATGTAACCTTTTTTTTATAAAAGATTTACCTTTTATGTATCCTTAATATTTGTTACCCGAGAAATTTTCTAGGGTTTTTCTTGAAGTGCTTCGACAATGGCGAAATCAAAGCTACTTCACCCGCAATCCTTCCACACACTTGTTCCCAGCAACAACAATGATGATGAGGAGCTTCCTCGAAAGAAGAAACTGAAGAAGAATAGACTTGATGAAAAAGTTAGCAACGAGGAAGAAGAAGACATGGAGTCATTGATGGAGGTAGAAAAGAAGAAGAAGCAGAGCCCGAAACCAAAACGAAGAGCTGTTTCATATGCGTCCTATTCTCCGTGTCATAAGCGGCTTGTAACGTTCACACTTCCATCTGATTATGTCAAAATTAGTAGCTTGACTCTTCCAAAGCCATTCTTGAGGGAGAATGGCATCAACAAGCCTGAGAAGAAGATATATCTGTTGGGTAAAGACGGTACAAAGTGGCCAACAAGCCTTCTAAAAGACAATAAAGGAATAATGAGTTTGGGAAGTGGATGGAAAGATTTTGTTAAAGCAAACGGATTAGAGACAGGCTTCACGCTCAAGTTGATGTGGGAAGGCACAACTCCTTCGTTTAGTTTGTGGTCTTCAGAATCAGCCAGTGACGTAGAGGAAGAAGAGGAGTTTTCAAAAGATCCGAGCAAGATTGAGAAGATGAGACAAGATGAGAACAAGAAAGAAGAGAGACAGAGAGATTCAACTCCATCAAGCCAAAAACAGTTCGTGACGATAACAATCACACCTGACAATCTCAGAAAGAATAGACTGCGTTTTCCAAAGCAATTCGTCAAGGAGAATAGCATGAACAAACCTGGAATGATATATCTCTTGCGAAAAGATGGTACAAAGTGGATGGTAAATCTTGTACAGGAAAGAGACGGAAGGATGAGTTTGGGAAGTGGCTGGAGAGTTTTTGCTGAAGCAAATGATCTAAAGCCAGGGGAATCGTTTACATTGGAAGCATTCTTTGAAGACACGACTCCTATGGTGAGGTTTATCCGTACAGAGTGCAACAATTCAGAAGCTAGCAAGAAAGAGTCGGTTTCCAAGGAAGACACAGAGACTAGAAATAGGAATACAGAGCAATTTGTGACATTAACACTAATACCTGATGATGTCAGAGCCTGTAAACTGCATCTTCCAAGTCAGTTCATGAAGGCTAATGGCATTAACAGACTTGGGAAGATAACTCTCTTGGGTGAGAACAAAATGGAATGGCCTGCATATCTGTTGTCCACCAGAGATGGAACCGTTGCTTTAGAATATGGTTGGGATGGTTTTTGTGAAGCTAATGGTGTGAAGTTAGGAGAAGATTTTACTTTAGAGTTCATTTATGAACAAGGCACAGTTACTGTACTTAGGTTCTGTTCAAAATGAACATGATCTACAAATAGTTTTAAATGAGTTCAATGTGTAGCCCGAACAGTTTCTTTTATTTGTTAAGGAGATTTATTTTAAGTTTTAACATTCATAAGAATCTAAAGACGAAGAAAGAAATTACTGATCTTGAAATGGTAACACAAATGGGTATTTAGATTCCTGTCAATAACTAAAAGAACCAAGTCATGACTTTAGAAACTTAGATTTTAGAAACTTTGAACAAGTCCAGACAGCTCTCAGTTGCAAGTGCTCTGTCCCAAAACTTTTCATAATACTCTGCATATGTAAAGCTTTTGTAAACAGCAGGAGAGCCTTCTTCCTCATTGATCAGTTCTTGTGGTGGACCAATCACAGCATCTGCAGAAGGACAGTAGAATGTTGGTATCGATATCCTCTCCTTGTCGCTGTTCACAACCGCTCTATGGAGAACACTCTTGTATTTGTCATTGCTTATAACCTAAGAAGAGAAACAACCTATAAGATCAAGGCACACAACGAGAGTGAAATAAAACAGAGTAAAATTCTCCAAATTTGTTTTCTCCTAAGTACCTGCATTTGGTCGCCGATATTGACTATAAAAGTGTTGGGAACAGGATGAACAGCGACCCATTTACCATCTTTAAAGACCTGTAAACCAGAGACTTCGTCTTGGAGAAGAACAGTGATCAAGTTTGGATCTTTATGTCCGGGAAGTCCGAACGTTAGATCGGGTTGAGGACAAGGTGGATAGTAGTTCAAGGCCATGTGTTGACCATGTTTGCCTAATGTATTGCTTACACGATCTTTCTCAAGGCCTAAGCTCTCTGAGATTGCCTCAAGAAGAGTCAGGACCAAGGATCTTACGCTTGTGGCGTAGTCGGATGTGATCTCTCTGAAAGAGACGGGATTTGAAGGCCACTCGTCGATGAAATCTTCGATAGGGAAGCAATGGAGTCGAAGGAAGTCTCTCCAGTTTGAGACTTTCTCTGAGCCGACGTTGAAACTTGTTGAGAGTCTCGTTGTCTTTTTTGTATCTGTAGAGTAATGCTTCACTCTTTCGTTCTCTGGCTGGCGGAAAAACTCTCTCGCCACTGTCATCATTCTCTCGATCGTCTTTTCTGGTACTCCATGGTTCTTGATCTGGAGCATGAAACAGAAGTAGAATACAATGTGTATTTTGTAAGAAAACAGTGAAAACATAGTGTCTTGCAATAAATCAGAGTAAATTTGAGAGAACAAGAATATATTGCACTCAAACAGAGTAACTTAAGTGAAGCAGAGTGTATAGCAATAAAAGCCAAGTAAACTCGAGAAAAAACAGAGACAACCCAAGAATGTATTGCAGTAAAACAGAGTAAACCTAAGAGAAAAACAAATTTTATTGCAGTTATAACAAAGTAAACTCGAGAGAAAACAGAATTGTCTTGCAGTTAAACAAACTAATTTAGATTAAGACATAGTGTATTGCAGTCAAACAGGGTAAATTCGAGAGAAAACAGAGTTTATTGCAATAAGACAGAGTACATTAGGCATAAGATTGAAAGTGAATTAATCGTGAAGTTACCTGGAAGAAGCCATAAGAGGAGCATGCATGAGCAAACTGATGGATAATGTCGGCTCGGTTGGGTCCATCGAGTTCCCGGAGATCGATTAGAGGGATAGATTCGCCGGAAGTTTCAACCTCGGACAGATTTGGACGGTCAGAGATTGGTCGGACGTAGTTTGAAGGGACATGATCAACGGAGGAAGCGATGTCGGATACAAGGAGCTTAGATGTTGCAGAAGCAGCCATGATTGGGGGTAGTTGCGTTGATATGTGTAATCTAGTGATATATATATATATACGTATATAGATAGAGAGATAGAGATAGAGAGAGATGTTATCTCATGTAATCACACATGTCATACATATAGAAGTATATAAGGACATGCACCGCACGTTGCTTACCACGTCGGCTAATCTGTATTTGATTTTGTGACAATATTCTCAGCCTTCTCAACATCTTCGAGTAATTAAGAAACTGGTGGCTTGTTTTATTTACGGACGCAAAGAAAAAAATGATTTTTTTTAATTAACGGATACCAACTACCAACCAAAGAAAGAAAAAAACTAGTCAAAAAAAGAAGGGAAAGGAGACGAGAAAAGAAAAAGGGAACGGAAATTATAGAAAACTAGGTGAACACCCGCGCATGCATTTTTTTTTCAACTATTTTTAATTTATATATTTTATATTTTTCTAAAAAAAACATAATCATCAATTGCTATATTATTATAAATCAATCAATTTTAAATATACTATCATTAAAAATTTAAAGTTTTATACCAAAAAACCGTCAATATTTTTAATTAATTATAACATAAATTCTTGTTTAATATTTACATAAATGTTATTTGGGAATTAATTAATAAAAAAACTTTTCATATTATTAACAAATCAAAAGTTTTATACAAAAAAAATCATCAATATTTTTAATTAATTATAACATAAATTCTTGTTTAATATTGACATAAATGTTAATTAAGAATCAATTAATAAAAAAAAAACTTTTTGTTTTCTTTGAGTGGTTATAAACTTAATATTAAAATTTATTAATAATTTTCTTTTAAAATTGTAACTTTAAATTAAAAATCAACACATGTCATCTCTATATTAACTTTAAAATGCTGAGGTGTCACTCATATGGAGAAAGTTAGTCATCTTTTATATATAAAATTACTAGGGTTTGTTTCTTAAAACAAGTTTTGCATGTATCAGGACCAATTATTAAAATTTCATTATTTTATTAATAGAAATAAACTAATTATTAAAAATGAATTGATAATCATCTAAGTTGCGAAATCGGAAGCGGAATCGCGGAAAAGAAGCGTTTAAAAGCCGGGAAGCATTTGAAAACAGAGAAGAAATAGAGAAGCGTTTGGAAGTGGGGAAGCGGATTTTTCAAAAAATTTAGGAAGCAGATACATATTGAAAGTGTATATATATATATCATGAAACATCTAAAATAAAATAACATAAAAAATGTTTTCAACTTAAAACAACAAAAATTTAATAAATAATAGAAATATTATAATTTAATTGACAATAAAAATAAAGTTCAAAATTACACGTTGATATGGTCGTTGTCATTCTCATTTTCATCTAACTCCATCATACATAACCACTTCTAATTCTGATTCATTAAGAGAAAGATCTTCAAACTCAAGTCTTCCTAGATTAATCTCATCCAATAAATCAAATTAGTCACCTCCAATATTTCAAAACATATGGTTGAGAAGCAGAACTCCTTCTTTTAAACAAAAAATTAGTCTAATTAGATAATGTTAAAAAAAACAATAAAACTATAGTGATGTAATGGGCTTGAAATATATTAAGCCTAAGAAAATTGTAACATGAGATGAGTTGACAATGACACTTCATATTCTTTTTCTATAATTTTAGTCCAAGTTTGCAATAAAGCTTTCAACCACGAAAAACAAAATTCCAACTCGGAATCATATGATTCATCGGCGTTTCCAAAAGACAAAATTTTAGAATCGCAATTCCCAAACGATTTTGATATCAATTTTGATATTGATTCTGTGCGATTTCGATTTTGATTTCGATTTTGAAGCGGGAATCGAAGCTTTCCAAGCGATCCCGTACAACATAGATAATAACAGATAAACCTATTTAGATAAACTTTTATCCAAACCATCAAAAAAATATGTGGAGAAAAAAAACTATTAGTTTAATCTTCCTTACGAACTAATACAATATTTAAAGTATGAATTATACTTTGAGAAAAAAGTATGAAATTATATATAAGATAAATACTTAAGGAAAATTTTCTAAAAGAACAAATCTTAGTATAACTAGTTTTTTTCTGATTATAGAAATAAATCAATCTTAAAATAATTCAAAATAATTTTTAATGAAAAAATTAATTTTTTTTGCAAAAATACTTTATTTATCAATTTTGAAAATACTTTTTGGAAAACATTAATACTAAATGAAAATTACGGAACCAAAATATAATATTTTAATTTTATTTTTAATATATTTGAGATAAACAAGTAAATCCACATAATAGTTTGTATTATTTTCGAAGATTAAATTTGGTTTTATTTATAAAAGCCGTTATAATAATGACCAAAGTCATATCTTATATGTAAAAATTGCTTAACTTTCTCCATATGATTGACACATCAGCATTGGATAGGTTGACATCTGTCCTTAAATTTTAATTAATAAATTTTAATACTAAATTTCAAAACACTTAAAGAATATGAAAAGTTTGTTTTATTAATTGACTCTTAATTAAAATTTATATTAATGTTAAACAAAAATTTATGTTATAACTAATTAAAAATATTGATAGATATTCGACCAAAAAAAGATATGTATTTAATATTTATATAACTGTAGATTAGTTAATAATATTTAGATTACTTAATAATATTCAAGATGTATTTTAAATTAATTTTTAAAAATTATTTATAATAAAATACTGACAAGTAACAAATGAAATAATGATTATATTAATTTTATTTTTTAGTTAATTGACTATCAACTAATATTTCTGTAAATGTTAAACAAAAATTTATGTTATAACTAATTAAAAATATTGAATGATATTTATTAATCTTAATATAACTTTAAATTATTAAATAATATTCAATATGTATTAATATTTTATAATTTTTTAGAATAAAATATTAACAAGTAAGTAAGTGACAAGTGATGATTATATTAATTTTTATAAAAATATAAAAAAAATTTTGAAAATTTTGAAAAGAAAAACCTGCACGTAACGTGCGGGTATTCACCTAGTTATTTTTAAAAGTAGACTATCATCATTATGAATTAGAAAGTGTTAAACTAGCTTATGTTATATAATATCTATATGACGTGTATTTGGATCTTGTAATTTCTTATTTACTAAGTAGGTATACTGAATTAAAGCTATGCGCTGCAAAGTTTGCAGGTGCAATACCACAGTGTTGTAGCCGTGTGGGTAAGTGGGGTTAGCTCAGACCACCCACCGCATTTAAAGACGTTACTAACGTGTAATTAATCGGCCTGGCGACAAAATAATAAAACGCGTCAAGGTTGTTTCGGAAATTGGGAAAACGTATTAACACAAAAAAAGACAAATATGTGAAAGATAATACGTGAGCATTTTGAAGAAATGACGTGAGCAACATGACGTCAAGCGAGATGGCGTCGGTGTTTAACAAAGTTGACTTCATCGTGATCTTGTACGTTTTTTCCGTATGTTCGAGATTGACATATTAAATGGTGTTTATCTTTGTATGGTTGTGTGCTTACGGTTACGGGTCAACGATAAAGTTTTCACCATACCAGTCCCATTCGCATCGGTATTAATTATCATTACTAGGACATGTGGTGGGTAGTTTTTATCCTAACATTGTGGTAGGACTAGGACGTTTCAAAGATGTAAAATCATATTATTTTTTTCTTCCAAACTATACGAGTCTTTAGTATCAAAAATTAATCTATCAAATCATACAAACATCTAATATAGTGGTGGACATAAACTTGCAAACCCACAAAAAGATAACAATAAACCCACGAAAGAATGATAACATCAAATCACCACAAAAGGATAAATCCATATAATAAAAAACTACCGATAAACGGGAACTATCCAATGAAATCCCACCATAGTAATATATAGATGTAGTACGATAGGCATGTAGAAGAGATACGCTAATGAATAATAAGAGTATGCCTAAATCCACAAGAATTTGAGAAGGAAAATATTTCTTATAAAAAAAGGAAACGATGACAGAATGGGGGACACGAAAAAGCAAACGAAGGCAAGAGCCATGAAAAATGCAATCGACCACTTTAGCTACCATAACTAAAAATTTCCTTAGAAAACATCTTGATATATGCAAAGGTGTAAGCAGAAAGTTGGAGAATAGTAAACCAACCTGAAGATAATGATATCGTTCACATAAAGAAGTTGGCACCCCTTCCGCCTCCGATATCGCTACCCGAGGAACCGCAGATTTTGATATATCGGATTGATGCTTTTTGAATCAATCACAGACAGATTAGCGGTCTTGGGTGGAGTTTTGAGGATGGTAGAGGGAATGAGATTTTTGGACAACAGGGATGTCATAGAAGACTCTCGGCTCTTCACGCCGAGATGGATTGCCTCCTATGGGCTATGTTATGCTTGAGAGAAAGACAGATAATTTTAGTGCATTTTCAGACCGATTGTTCGGACCTTGTGAACATGTCTGAATCACCATCAGATTGGCCGTCTTTTATGACAGAGGTGGAATCCTTCTGTATTCTTCATGAGAACTTTTCAGAGTTCACTTTAGCTTATATTCCGAGAAGTCTAAATGTCCGGACAAATAGTCTTGCAAAAGAAACCCGAGCACGAGGAGTTACTTTTTTCCAAACCGATCATACCAAGCTGGTCAATGATGTTCCTGTGACCATTTTCATGATGGGCCAAATGTGATTGTAATAGTTTGTTAGGAAAAAAAACTAATATATCGTTTTATAATATCTTAGTTTTTATTATATTGCTACTTTTTTTTCTTGTCGGAATTATTCTACTACTTATATTTTAATAGGAAAAAAACATATCTGTAGTAAAAAACATAGTTCTTCAACGAATTGAATATGTTTTGCTCAACCAAAAACTGTATTATTATTTAAAATCATACCACATAAGTAAATATAAACGAAAAAAACTGATAATACAATTTTGTTTATGGATTAGCACTCATATACTTCTCCTAAAAATATGTAATGACATAGTTGCCATATACCATTTAAAAGACTTTGTAAAGGTAACATTTTCCCAGAAATATTGCAAAACTACATTTTTTAATATTGAAATGATCATTTTACCATGTTTTACAGAAGTAAAATAGTCATGAATAGTGAAATAAAGTGTTAATTTTGCAAGGCTTTCTGGGAATGTCTTAGTTTTTCAAAGTATTTTACTTCAAGTG